ACCAGATTCCGCGTCCTATTTGCTAGCGACACAAAGCCGGTTGCATTCTATCACAGATAGCGTACTAGACGTACTAGAGAGTAAATATATATGTATAGTAGTATTTAAAAGCTACACAACACTGAGCATACTACCAGATATATAGCATGTAATATACTAGAAATGCTACGTAGTACCGAGTATACGACACTAGAGAAAAACAGTACAAAAGGTGTTTATTAATCACAAAGTAACGATATGGCCAGTCAGGTGACTGACCGATATCGACGTCACTCACCCACTTGGCCGCCTCGTTGCAATGTGTCTAATACATTAGTTTGTAAATAAGTTTTTTGGTAGTGACCCGCAGACGGTATTTCGAGTGTTTGGTGAAATCCACGCTAGTCTGTAGAACAGTACCGAAAACCGCAAACCCGGGAAATGGCTTACCCTCCGGCAGGGTCGACGGCGATCGCTCGCGGATGCGTGAGACCGGTAGAAACGAGTATACGTCTGGCGTGTCCGTCCAAACTGGCAACCTCAATCCTCCGAGTACCCGCGTCCGTCCAGTAAATATTTCGAGCCACCCAGTCTAATGCGATACCATCCGACTCGTCGAACTCGCTGATGACAACGTCACTTTCGTCTAAACAGAAAATAAAATGTGCCATAAAAAATGAACAGAACAAAATATACGTAATAAGACTATCTGCTTTTACAGAAGAATCAGTTTAACAGTCTGTGATTTAAATCGAACTCTTAGTAATCATCGTATATCATCGGTCTTTTCCGATACACTGTTCGAAGAACGCCTCTCCAAGACTGCCATAAACTTGTATTCTGAGGTGTGTATCCGTTTTGATCCACCAAATTTCATTAGCTTATCCTAACAACGATCTACATGTTTTCGTATAGACTGTTAGCTCCCTGATGTAACCTAATTTAGAATCTCTTTGGTGTCCAGCGATGCAAACTCATGTTTGTGCTTTTACTGAGTCTTATTAACGATCGAACAAATTTGGTAAACGACAAAACAGTCAACGGAAGGTTTCTACAAATACCGCTGGTATGACAACGCTGCTGGATAGATTTAGGAACAGAACAATCTACGAGGCCATCGTTTGTGAACCGCTTCTTCTCCAGGTCATCCTCGCGCTCTAAACTGAAATGGATGGCTGTCAAAATGCCATAGGGGAGACACCCAAGACCAATTGTATTCGCAAGTCCATAACGCAGGAATCACTTCAACTAGGTTCTTATCACGTGATCAGCAAGCATCGTTGGGAAACAACTATGGTCGGTGACCCCACAAGATGTTACTTAATCAGGATTAATAGGTGCGAGTATCCTTCGAAACAACCACATGTTACCATGGCACATCCAGTTCCTTCCCCAGCCATGCCTTTTTCACTAGCTTGAGCATATGTCATATGTAATTGGTTTTAGACCACATTAACAGAAGATAGATATGTCCGAGTCAGGAATAAATACGAATCTGAGTACCGCATAACCCTCTATGAATTGTCAGTCGACGTGTTTTATAACATATTTAAACACTTCGTTCTTGCATATTAATGCTGCTTCGTTATAGTCGATCATCTCTGGATTTGCGATGGATCTAGGCGTGGGAAGCGAAAAGATGGAAACAGAGTGCCATCATTCCGTAATTAGTAATCCCTGATCGATCATTGGGTGGAGGAAAAAACTAAAGCTAAGGCTCCATATTACTGATTATTATTAAGATGATACAAACATTGTGGGAAAAATGCTTTTTGAAATTATGCTATATAGAAAACCAAGGGAAGAGGTAAAAATCGTAAAATAACAAAAACGTTATAATAACGGAATAACGAGAGAGATCAGTTCCGTTTAAAATCGTTCTTCGTAGGCTATTTACCCGAACCATCCAGTTTAACGCGACGTATCATCTTCAGTTCACTATCAGACCAGTAGACGTATCCTTCAACCGGGTCGTAGTCGACGTCCATCGCATGTTTAATGTTTTTTACACGAAGGATGTTGTCCGTGTAATCCGGAGTGTCCAACGATATGACCCGAAGATCTGACCGCCTGGCGACGATCAGTATTTCTTCCGGACCTGCAAGCGCTGAACATGAAACTCGCCGGCAACAACGCATGACTTGCAGCTCACCTTCAGCACAACTTCGGTTATCGGGCAACAGTTTGACACCGGTAGGACAAGCGCATGTGTAGAACGGTTGGACGGGGATCAGAAGGCACAGGTGGCTGCATTCGCCATTATTCTCACACGGATTGTCCACTAAAACGCATAGCTAAATCTTTTTTAAGCAACTACTATAAAATAAGTAGAATTGGCATTTAAGAAGACTGGCTTGACTCATTCTTATGAAACAAAACAAATATTTAAGTTACAACTCGGGACTCGAATTCAAACGACCACAAATTCAATGTATCCATCAGCAAGATCTGTCTCGCTAAGAAGGATGCCGCCTACGGTTGAGAGAATTCGTTGTGATATCGGTGCGTACATGGTGTGCCACATAGAGCCGTCAGAGTTGTCTTCTCTCGGCTACTGCATGCCGCACTTTAACTCCATAACATAAACGTCACCCTGATTCCACCAACCACGATGAAGTCGAACTCAATGAAGAAGAGGCGCTAGAAGAACGGGGCATCGGTTCGAAAATTAATTTTATACGGAATTTCCTGAAACATACAGATGTTTTCAATTTAACTAAATACTAGTGAATGTATTGTAGATAAGACATATTGGAATTACGAATCCTACACATTGGTATCTGTAAAAGCTGAACTACTTTAAGAACATGACTTGAATCCTTTATATAGGTGCAAAATTCTTTACCATCAAGGCCTTCAAGACGCTTACCGCGCATACAAGTTTTGACACAGTACCGACGTTTCAGATCAAACTTGATCCATCTCAGAAAATATTATATAACAAAAAATGTGTAAAAAACTGTCGACAATTGGAACTACTGATGCCGTATGATGTCTCATGCAGATGGGACCTTGTTCAGAAACGCCGGTATTTTCTTCAATCACATCTGAATGCAAACATAACACCTCTGAAGACCATGGTGGCGATCAAAAAGCGGGATTGTTAAAAATCTCATAACTGAGCAACGTGAGGACATACTCGAAACAACCCTCTTCAAGAGCAGATCTGTGAACTGATCTATTAATGAAATCAAAGCGATTACAACAGAACAGAACAGTTTAGAAAAGTTTAAAACCAATAGCCACTTAGCAACTAATGCCACTGAGATATTCTGTAGGGATGCTGCACTGAGGGTTGCCTATAAAAGCAATATGAGCGACAGAATATGATTCATGAACAGATATGACGAAAAGATGGCATATAGCTTCTCACAGAAACTTGAAAATCTTCTGTATCAGAAAGAAATCGTAGCATAACAAAAGACCCCTTTGATGGGAGACTTACTGCGTCACTAACAGATAAAATATGACATAAGTTCGGTCCACTAGCGGAACACAGCATCCTGCAAAATCACTCCAGCAAAACAATTTGGAAACAAAGTAAGTAATAATGGAGAATCCATTCTCTAAGCCATTATAGAGAAATAGCCCTACAACATGACGAATAAATAAGAAAGTGCATAGGCGATAAGCTGTAACTGATAAACAC